TCAATCACTCAATCACTCAATCACTCAATCTATCTATCTATCTATCTATCTATCTATCTATCTATCTATCTATCTATCTATCTATCTATCTATCTATCTATCTATCTATCTATCTATCTATCTATCTATCTATCATAGTGCTGAGCTGAAATGATATATTTTGCAAAACATTTTTAGTAATGCCACAAAAAGAGTTCCCCTTTTAACCAATTGTTGCAAAAATAAAATTCATTTTTCTGTTTACTGTAATTCTTGAAAATGCCATATTGTATTCATACACTGACATTGGAGAAAAATGAAAGCAGCTCTAATATATAATGCATTCTTATGGTACCTTATCAAACAGAGAGAGAAAATGTCACATAATATTTGAAACATAGGCCTAACTGGTGCCTCCTCAGGTAAGAACTGCTGGACAGCTCAGTGGTTTAGTTCTCTGGCTGTGGAGTCAGAAGTTGGAAGTTTGATTCCCTACTGTATCTCTTTGAGCCTATGGATCATGGCTGGACTCAACGATCCAAAGGGACCGTTCTAGCTCTGCAGTTCTAATATGATATTACATCTAGCATCTTAAGCTAAGTCCCCAAAGCACAGGTTCCTAAAGGGATTGCAAAGTGTTTCCTGGGGAGTTGCTGTAATTTTCAGAGGAGGGGACACATTGCTTTTGACTCACACCTCTCCTCCCCAGTTCCCTTCTGCATGTTTCTCTTCACTTGTCTCCCCCTTCCCACAAGCCAGACTCTCTTTGCTCCCCACTGTGGAGCTCCTGGGCTGGCAGGCTGGCTTGGGTGGGGGACCCGGATGGTATGGGGAAGGAGGTGGAACCCAGCTGCAGTACCTGCAAGCCAGGCCAGCCACAGGAAGAATTAGAGGTGAGGAGGCAGCAGCATGTTGGAGGGGGAATGGGAAAAATGGTGGCGAAGAAAAAGGCCGCTGCCACTCCCATCACTGGTGACTTGCATATTTCGTCACAATCAAACTACAGATTATTTATAAACTCCTCTCAGAAATCCTGACCGTGACTCAAGCAAAGATAACCATATACAATTAATTCGTACAAATATGACTTACCAACCCGAAGAACAAAGTCATTGTAAGACTGATAGTTGATTTCATCAAGAACATCAAACATTTCTATTGCAAAATCAGCCAGTGTGCTGAGATGAGAATAAATTGATTTCTTTGCCTATGTTTGTAAAACAGAAAAGTTTACATTATTTATTCATGCATTGATTCCTTTATCCTTTTGTTTGTTTGTATAACAGAACTTTTTGGCTTCAGACAGACGAAAATTAAGTGAAAAGCACAATTGAAAAGTGCAGATACACATTAAACATACTGCTATTAAAAAGTCTGAAAAATCCTGTTTTGAATGTATTTTTAAGAGTAACCACCATTTTGATACGCATTAAAAAACTAGAAGTATCCGATGTCCTTGATAGCCCTTAAACGACTAGAAATTAATGTCCTTCATTTTTGGTGTTAGCTTGACCAAGACAGTTTGAAGGATAGCAGACCATTGCAATGGTTACTCCAAGACCAGAAAATTCTCTGCTGAGAGAGAATATGCTGCTCGCTTCTCTTATGTTTTTCTTCCAGCACACAATACCCTTCCTATTTAGGCAGGCCTTCAAAACTTATTGACTACTAAGGATGGAGACTTAGATGTTATTACTGTACTTGTTAATGATAATTACCATTTTTAGCAGAGAGGTTTTCAGAATTCTGTTACTATATCCTGTTTTAAAATGACAGTTCATTTAATTATGTTTAATATTTGCAAGGTATTTTTAAAAACTTGAATCAGTTCTTAAAAATTGTATCATAAGCAGTTGCCATTGTATAAATACATTGTATTTATAATGTAAGCTATCTCTTTCCTGTCCTTGATCCATTTTGCTGACAACCCTCAGTTGTAACATTATGTTAACATTATGAGAGATTAAAAATATACATATTTCTATCCACTCTCTCCACATTGTTCATAATTTTATAGATATCTGTCATTTACCAATAAATAAATTTTCCACATATGCTAGGCTTTCTGTGCTGGAGAAACCCATTGATAGATCTGATTGCCTTTCCCTATACCCTTTCCAGTTATTTATTTATTTATGGAGATGGTATGGCCAGAATTAATGCCATCCCTATACCCTTTCCAGTTATTTATTTATGGAGATAGTATGACCAGAATTAATGCCAAATTCCTGTTCCTTAATGTAGTTAATTGCATTTTAATAGGCCCATTGAATCAAGATAGAGTAGGCTCATTTGCATCAATAGGATGTATGCAACTTATGGGACCACCAGTAGTTGCTAGTTTGGTTCCCCAACACCAATATCATGATTTTTCTTTAATAATGTCTGGAGAGGGGCACTAACAGGACAGGCTTCCCAAAAGAGCTGTACCAATTTTCTTTGCCTTGTCTTAAAAGTATGGATGAGAACGTGCAGCTGAATGTACTGTCAGCTGGTAGCCAGCAGTGGATTTGGCTATAGGGAGGTTCATAGAAATCATAGAAAAATGAATTTGGAAGAGACCTACAAGGCCATCAAATCCAACCCCCGCTCAATGCAAGCAAGCAAAATAAATTTCTTGCATGGCACACAGGCCATTGCAACACACATCAAATAAAACAATATAAAACAATATAAACATTATAATATAGACCATTACAATATAGTGCAATAAAATATTAAAAGCAATTTAGAATCAAATCAAGTTGATTTCTATTACGGCACAAAGTTTTAACATCTGAGGAGAGGACAAAGGCAGATGGAAGACACTAACCAATACCAGCAGCAAGCACTTATCATGAGAGGAATAACCCCAAAGATACAATTACTTAATATTGAAACTTGTCACTGAACTTGGATTTTCAGAACAGTATATGAATCATCTCAGCTACTTTGCAGCAAAACTCTCATTGAAGTTTATATTCAACTATATATTCAACCAGATGTTGCCAGATGTATAGTGTGTTTATCATGCACTTCAAGAATAGTGCCTATTTATAAAAGAGTTCTCCTTTCACTCTGACCCTTCCATCTTCTTGTATTGCTAAGTAGATTTAGATTATTGAAAGGCCTTTACCCAACTCAGATTCCATTATTGTATTGTGTTATTTCTAATCATGTAAATTGTCATGGCCTCTGGGCTAAAATAGTGAAATCCAAATTTGAATTGCCTTTTTTGGCAGCTGTGGCATGTATTTGAAAAATAACTGCAGATTGCTACATGCTGCAAAAAAGGTGGGAGGGCAGCAAACATGTTCATAGGGCCAGGGAACCTCTCCCTTTTTTGATAACAACAATTGGAACTTTAAAAATACTTCTGCAAACTTCTCCATATTTGGTGTGTAGCAAGCCTCCCCTGTTTACTACTGCTCTGCTCAATATGGGGTCAATCCAAGAAGCCATTTGAAAGTTGTAATGATTTGTTTAGACTGCCTTCTCCCAATCAGTAAGGACTTACAAAATGCAGACTTGTTGTCCGCAAGTGTTCTGGGTTGCTCTAGCATTTTTTGTTGCACTTTTGGAAAGATCATTCCAATCTGGTAGGTGCATCCACTCATGAGCAGGATATCTGTTGCTGAACTAGGCCATCCCAGTTCCATCTGTCCACACACATTCAGAAGACACGTCCCTGATGGGTCTTCCCCATCATTGCTTGCCCTCCCCTTTTGTGTGTCTTCTCCACCCTCTCTCTACCTACTTCATTCTCTCCTCCCTTCTCTTCCTGTTTTACTCATCCAGGGACCTGAAGGCACAGAGACTACCAGCAGAAAAAAACATCCATAGCAATACATCATCATCCCACCCACAAAGTGCACATATCAGCATAGAACAATGCAGTACTAAAGCAGAATACACACACACCAAAATGGTAGTTTAAAGCCTCTCAGAAAGCCAGTTTCTTTTTTCCCCTTTGACTTTTTAAACACTGTTTTCAACTCTTGTGTGGAAATCAGGATGTAGTACTGGGATCATTGATGCAAGAAAAGCTAAACAAATGCTTCATATGGACAGGCTTTAGAAAGGCAGGGGTGTCTCCTGCAAACTGTGCAATACTCCACTTCAGGAACATTTTCTCACTTCCCACAAATTGCTACGGAATGCTGAATCAAAAATATAAGAAAAAAATTTCCAAATTTAAGACAGCTTACCTTGGTCCCCATAGTTGGTACAAGTCCCACTGCTGCCATATACGTACTGCCAATTGTCTTGATTTTTTCGATGTCTTTATAATATTCTTTTTCCATTAGCTTTGTTCAAAACATAAAACTATTAAACACTGCATACTATTTTAGGCAAGAAAGAATAGTTAAGTGCATACTTATTATTGTTCCTTTTCCTTTTTTTAATTCTTTGTGTGTGTGCGTGCGTGCGCGCGCACGCACGTGCACGCGCACGTGTCTCAGATCTATAGCAAATTTTAAATTAGCCCTTTGTTCATCACCTATCATGTTTTGGTTTGATACAATTTGCAAAAGTGAAGTTCAGCAAAGTAACCCTTTAAAAATGGAGTTTACTACTGCATAACTAAACTTACCTAACTTGCATCTAATAGTGAAACTTTTCCTTCAGTATTAGATGCAAGGAAGCTGTTTGTGTGTAAATAATTTGACAAATACAGTGAGGCATCTCTGTGTTCTGATCATGAATAAAAATCTTCATTACCAGAATCAAATAGGATCTGCTGCAGCATGGCTAGATCTTATCCTGCTCTGAGACTGTCCAAACCAGCATTTACTGGAGTGAGAGGGGTGCAAATTAGGGGGAAACTAACATATGAGATAAAGGACATAATCATCAAGAGATTCAGTAACATCTGAAATATAGAGGGATATGAAACAGTATAATCCTTCTACTGATATGGTCAGCAGAACACTTAATCAGTTACTAAGCAGATGCAATTAGATAATCTTATTTCCAGGTGGCAGAACTATATATCCAAATCCAGGATTATTTACCTTTTTTTTGGGGGGGGGGCTGTATGCTAAATAATGAAGTACCTGTCCAGACAGGGGAATTTGGAGCACTTAAAAGGGTGTTATCTTTAGTGAGATCTGTTTTATATCTCACTTGACCTATCCGTCTCTTCACAGCAGAAGTGTTTATTGCTCTGGGAAGGGTCTACACAAGTCTTTAGATGTCTGATTTACTCATGAGTAAAGTTTACTCATGAGTAAAGGAAAACTCCAATTTCAAACCTCCACTGCCTTGTGGCTATATCCACTCATGGAAAAGGCTTCAGGAGTTAACCTCGAGGCAAAATCTGGAGCTGGAGTCCCGAAGGCAGCATGTGTCGTTCTGCCAACTCCTGCGACATTGCTGGAACCAGTTGTATTGGCTCTTGCCTTTCCATTGGACCATTTCAGCAATGTGGAGAGGGGGGATCTGCTGCTTGGGTAACAGCCTATCCTCCATATTACCTTACCCGGGCTTCATGCTCTGGAGAGGACACTCCTCGATTCAGAGCATGTTACCATAGTCTCTCGAGACTGAAGGATGCCTATGTAAAGTTTACTTGGTTTACTCATAAGTAAGAAGGGGAGCAGCAGGGCAAACTTGTGGTAGCGGTACTGGGGTGAAGAGGGGGAAATGGATGAAGGTGGGGGAGATGGAAGAGAGGCAAGTCTCCCTTTTCCTTCCTTTCTCCTCAGCCAGGGCTGTTCTGGGTGCTAGGGCTGTGCTTCCTTGTGGGGATGGAGCCCATGGAGTCGACACAGCTCCCTCCCCTGCCTTTTCCCTGCTTTTTCTCATTCAGCTGGCTGTATTGGGTTTCCATTTAAAAAATAAAAAAGTAAGTGGCACATCAAAAGAAAACTATATCCACCAAGTATGGTATTAGAACTGCACTGAATCAATTAGGGAAATATTTTTAATAAGATGAAAATAGAGGAGGGTGTTTCTCCATCCTCTTTTTTAATGTCACAACCCATCTATTATACGTTTGTTTTTTTGTTTGTTTACCCAACATGGCTGGTGATAGACACTAAACATCAACCCGGTCTTTGTCTGTCTTCTTTTTTGTTTGTTATTTTTACTTTACAAACCAACTTTACTTAAAAATAAAATGAAACCGTAATTTTATAATTGTTTTTATTTTAAACTTGTTCATCTTCACAAATACTAAAGACTTTTTTTGTAGTATAAGCAACTGATCAACGTTGGACAAAAAGCTATAAATGGTTTTGATGTTCAAAACCGTCTGCGGGCTGGACAGGAGGGGCTTGCGGGCTATATGTGGCCTGTGGGCCACACTTTGCCCAGGTCTGCAATGCAGCGAGTTACTACAGTGGCTGTCGGCGAGAGGAAATTTAAGGAGGTGAGATAAAACCTTGGACTGGGTGATCTCCTTAGAGATCATGGGAGGCTCCGAGTTGTTTTTCCTCCCCCTTGTTCAACACCATGGAAGGCACGAATGCTCATAAACCTATTAAAATTGCACGATACATCTCTAGTAGAGCAAGCAGCCTTCAGGACCCAGCTGATCACACTCATCGATCGGTAAGCACGAGTGGGGGCTTGCCGGTAATGGCAGTTAGTCCCGTTGTTTGGACTCCTAGCTATAGAACCGGGTCCTCAGGATGTTATGGACACTCTGCCAATTTTGACAACAAATGTCAGTGGCTCAAAGGACAATAACAGGTTTGCTGCCATCTTATTGCCCTGATTGCCTGTCATAATCAGGGCATTTTTACAACTTACAGGATTTATAGGACTGGATGGGATGCCACTGTTCTACACTGGAATTGACTACTCATTAGTCATTATTGAGAGGAAGAAAGTGAGAATGACTGTCACTGAATCAAACTGGAATGCTGTATGAAGGAGGAAGAGTGATGTCTATTATAAGATGGCGAACTGAGGCTTGATATTCTTTGACACCCTGCCCCCTGGACTATTCATTCTCTGATTCATGGGGTCCTCCATCTCAGATCATCCACACAACTAAATATCAGCTGAGTCAGTGGCAATTCATCACTGCAGAAAGGCATGGGCAGACTCATAATAGAAGGGGTGGTGGTGAAATTGACCAGCAGCCAATATTTCCAACCCGGCATGAAAGAACTATAAATGAATGAAAACAAGCATTGGTCATGCAGGGTGGTGAGATGAGACTTTTAAGAAGGTGATAGTAAGTGTAAGAAGGTGAGCGCAAGTCATGACTAGGCTGGGAAGAACTACCCATAAAATCGTTTTGAAAAGCAACTAATGCGATAGACAGGGCTTTTAAAGGTTAGCCTCTCGTTAATGAAATTAGACATCTACTCTAATTAATAATATTTAGATCTGATTTATCCCCACAGACATCCTATTACAATTCCATCAGTTATGTGCTCTAGCATTACTATCAGGGGGCAGAGGGTTGGAATCTGGTTTTAAATCTAATTTAATAATCTAAGTTAAAATCTTTTGAAATTATTGTTGATCAGTTATTCTAATATTTGATAATTAATTACAGCTACATTGATCCATCAATAAATTATTTTAGTATATACTACTACTGCACTTTATCTGCACCACTCTTTATCCTTCTTTGCACTTTATTACACAACATTTACACTGGAGTCGATAGACCTGTCACCCAATGTTGACGGTGGTCTGCCACTGAAGAAGATGGCATGTCCATGGACATTTGCTGACATCGAGAGTTGTTGACTGGTATCAATGTTGAAGGTGCCTCCATGGACAGAGGTAAACAAGTTGGAACCTCAGTGTCAAAGTCTACGTCACGATATTGATGGACTGCATGTCTAGGTTGGTGCCACTTTTGAGGACTAGCAACTGAGAAGGATTGAAGTGCGGCGTCTTTGGACCAAGATGGATATCAAGATGCGTTGATATTGGAACCAGTGTCTCTATGGTGTCAAAAAGGCAGTTGAGGCCTATTCGGTGGATGCATGGGTAAGTCTGTAGAGTCAATTGAGACTGGGGTTGCCGAGTGAGAGGAGTGGTCTCCATCATTTTGAGCCAGCAAATATGTGGTCATCGGGCTTTCTCGACTGCCCTAATTTTTACAGGTGGTGTCTCCATCATTTTGAGCCAGAAAATATGTGGCTTTCTCGACTGCCCTAATTTTTAAAGGTGGCTATATGATGGCTGCATGCATCTGAGTGATAAGGCCTCTTCAACGCGGCAGGTTGTTGAGATGAAGGTTTTTGACGTGATGCTAATACTGGACGGGAGGAAGCAGCCAGTTGAGCATCTGCAGCCAGCAGGTTAGAGAAGCACTGATCGAGGCAAATGTCTACCCTCAGAAGCACTGATCGGGGCAAATGTCTACCCTATGAGCATGCTGGGCACAGGATTGGTCGACACACACTTGTGGAATTGCCTCATATACTGGATGAGCCTAATAGCACACCGGTGGCCATGGAGGCCAGCCCGATGGTACAGAATAGGGCACTGTGTCTGGCTGAGGCTCAGGTTCCTCTCTCTCCGGGGAGGCATCAATGGAAGGGTTAGGAGGAGAGATAGAATGTTGGGGAGTATTAAGCGAGGAAGTAAGACGGTCCACTCGCTCGTCCCATGTCGGTGGCTGAGAAACTGGTTGATGAGATGGAATGTCTTCATCATCAGAGGGCCAACCAACAGAAATTAAATCACGGGGTTTGGAGACCTGTTGTGGAGGGACTGTCAGGGTTTTGATTTGGTTTGTTTAGATCACTTCAGTTGCGGGGGGGGGCTGAACCAGATTGGGAGGAGGCTTTCGCTTTTCAGAAGGCTCTGATGTCAAAGTTTTCAATGTTGACTGTTTGGATTTATGCGTCTTAGAAGTTTAGATGAAGTGGAAGGCACATCGGAATGAGATAGAGTAGTGGAGGAATGGTGTTTCAATGATTCTGCAGTGGCTTTTTCCATGGCTTTAGCCTGTTAGGTGGTTTTACACTGAGGTTGAGCCACAGGTTTGACAGTTGCAAGGACTGTCCCCAGAGATGGAGTTTGAGTCGAGAAGAGACGGAGTTTGAGTCGAGATAGGTGAGGATGGAGGACTCCTCGTTTAAAATTTTTGCAATGAGAGCACAAGGAGGTTTGATGCACCTTGCCTAGACAAAAAAGGCACTTTGCGTGACCATCCAAGAGTGGCATCTTATTATTGCAAATCACGCAGTGCTTGAATGGGCCCAAAGGGGCCATGAACAATTAAGAAAAGAAAAAGAAAAAAGGAGAGGGGGTGTGATGTTTGGAGGCCAAGGCCCAGTAGGAAAAAACTAAAAACAGTTTGTAATATGTATCTTTGATTAATAATAAAGAAAAATAAAGAAAAAATTTAAATTTAGCAGTAAAAAGAACTTGTTTCGCTTTCAGACTCACAGAAGATAAACGTACAAGGCTCTTCAACGCGGTGGTTGAAAGGAACTGAAGGGAATCCTGGTGCCAAGGTACTTATACTGAGGGGAAGGGGTCTATTCTAAGGTGTTTTTTGCTACCGCAGAAGCTCTATTCTGAAAAGGCTCCGCGCAGGTGCATCTAAGGTGTTTTTTGCTACCGCAGAAGCTATATTCTGAAAAGGCTCCGCGCAGGTCACCCACAGTGTGATTCACAGAGGCCATGAAGAACTGTATGATACAATAGTGTTTGCCAAAATATAATCCATCACACCGCCATGCTTCTTGCCTTTAATATTTTATGCTTTTACCTGTAATTTATTGTATTGTACTTGTTTTACTGCATTTTTGATATATGATTTATGCACCAATTGGATTATTATTATTATTATTATTTTGTATATGTATTATTTTGTAGTTTTATCAGTTGTAAACTGCCCAGAGTGGCCCTGGCTGCCAGATGGACAGTATATTATTATTATTATTATTATTATTATTATTATTATTATTATTATTATTATTATTATTATTATTATTATTATTATTATTATTATTATTATTATTATTATTATTATTATTATTATTATTATTATTATTATTATTATTATTATTATTATTATTATTATTATTATTATTATTATTATTATTATTATTATTATTTATGTATGTATGTATGTATGTATGTATGTATTTATTTATTTATTTATTTATTTATTTATTTATTTATTTATTTATTTATTTATTTATTTATTTATTTATTTATTTATTTATTTTCCTGCTTTTACCCTGCCCATCTAGATTCAATGAATCTACTCTGGGCGGCTTACATTTTGAATATAAAACAAAATTTAAATTTAAAACACACAATATCAAACAACATAGAGATAAACAAAGTCCAAGATGGTAAGAGATAGGGAATTAAGAAATGGAAGAGTGGAAGGAAAGGAGTGGGATGGCTCTTAAAGGGACAAGATGGATTGACCTAAGTAGAATCATGTGTAGACACCATTATTTGGTTAAAACCAAACCATACCAACAGCAATCCATATACTGATCTATTTGCCAATCTGGACATTTTTCAGGCTCTTCATAGAGCCTGAAAAATCTCTGGGTATGATCATACAGAGAAATAGATCACATTTTACACCACTTGTGGAGCAGTCTAGTACTAGCTATTATCTGGTGTTCACAAGAGATTCTATAAAAGGCACTCCAGCTTGACTCTGATCTGTGGCCAAGCTGAACCTAATTGGTCCAGCTATAGGGTCACTACTTTTGGGGGCTGGGCTGCAGCAATTGCCTGGAAGATAGAAAGGTGCTTTAAGGGAGATCCCTCCCTGAAAAGTGACCCTTTCTGGCACAATCAGGTGTGCACCATTTTAGCCATCTGATCACACCCTCAGTTTCTGTCTAGATAACACAAGTGATCCTGCCAACCCAGTTACAATGGATGGTATTCTACAAACCATTTTTATGAACAACTGATGTATTATTAACATTATAATGAATTTATAAAGATATTCCTGAGATGGCAGACTTGATACCTGAATATTTCACACTTACCTCATCAAAATCGGCTATAATTTCATTTAACAGACGTAAACACTCCACTCCCATGTTATTGCCATCCAGTTCAATGTAAAAATCATTGAAATTTGGGATGGAAGCAAACATCACTCCTACTTGTGAATATGATTGGTAATACAGGTCCTGAAATGTTGAAATTAGATATTCTGTTAGGCTAAGCACAGTGGGTAAGAACAACACTAAGACAGCCATACTTTTTTGCTCTCAAAGAAATAGAGATTCAGTCATAACTAAATGTTCATTGTAATATCACTAGGTCATTGGATTCAACACAATTTAAGCAAGCAATAATGACAACATAAATAAAACAGATATCACAAATACCTTTTCATTTAATTCACTCATTACTTTAAAAGTGGTAAAGTCATGAAAACAGTACAGAGAGAATTGAAGATGTAATTTACTAAGGCTGTTAATAGCATATTCAGTCCAGCAATAGTCCGTATTTGCTCTATAGGAGTCATAACTGATATAGTTTCATTATAATTTATACACTTCTCTCATTTAAAGGTTAGCATGACATTTTGCACAGGTCCTTATATTTACTTCCAGTTCTGACATAAATTTCATTTTAAAAAGAGAGAGAGAATCAGTATGGAATGTTGTAAATACCCTCCTAAAAATCTTTCAAGGTTTCAGGCAGAATATTTGAAAATATTCCATTCATTTTGGTGAAATCATAATTTTAATCCATAATTTTGTTATAGTAGCTTTCAGCTTATAGCACTAGCCACCTTGATGGTTTTGCTGGAGAAAAGGAAAAGCAGGATATAATTCCTGAAAATGCACAAATATTTTGCTTACCATATTCCTTGGATTAGACATGAGAAAATGCTGAGCAACATGAGCTGGCAACAAATTAAAGAGAATTCTTTTGTTATCCAGTTTCACTCTTTCCATATCATCTCTCTCTTCTTCTGCCTATGAAAAAGTAAAATATTCTAAGCAATTCTAAACACTTTTTTTTGGGGGGGAGAACAATTGAAAATGGAAAGACTTTCTTGTGAGTTAACATACATAATTAACTTCATGAGAAAACCTTTTTACTCATTGCCTCATTCTATGCTTTATAAACACTTCACACAAACGTATGTGTGTATGTATGCATGTACAGATACACACACACTAATGATGGTACAGCAGCTCTGAAACAGAGATACTGAATATGTTTGCAACTCTGTTTAAATTTCAAGAAATTTATTGAACAAGTCTTCTATAAGTGACCTTGCACGGGGCTTCATCAATGGATAATGACCAAATGTCTAAGTAGGTATCTCTACTGCTGCTGTTTCTATGTTACATACTCAAATACTGAAAGAGTTGCAAGATCCACATTCAATCATTTAGTAGAAGGTGAGCATTTATCTTTCCAACATTGCACTATCAGTTGCTTAGAGGTATCTCTACTGCTGCTGTTTCTATGTTACATACTCAAATACTGAAAGAGTTGCAAGATCCACATTCAATCATTTAGTAGAAGGTGAGCATTTATCTTTCCAACATTGCACTATCAATTGCTTAGCTATCATAAAGGCATCATAAATTCCAAGAAATGGGTCGACAGCTAGGTTTTTCACTCTAGGGGGCGGCGCTCATCCCGCTCTTCAAGCCATAGAGCCAGCATTGGTCCGAAGACAATCTTTCCGTGGTCACATGGCCAGTGTGATTTAGACACGGAACGCTGCTGTTTACCTTCCCACCGAGATGGTACCTATTTATCTACTCGCATTTGCATGCTTTCGAACCGCTAGGTTGGCGGGAGCTGGGACAGGCAACGGGAGCTCACTCCGTCGCGTGGATTCGATCTTACGACTGCTTGGTCTTCTGACCCTGCAGCACAGGCTTCTGCGGTTTAGCCCACAGCGCCACCACGTCATCATAAATTCCAAGAAATGGATCGACAGCTGTTGTAGGTTTTTCAGGCGGTATGGCCATGTTCTGGATGTTTTTCTTCCTAATGTTTCACCAGTCTCTGTGGCAGGCATCTTCAGAGAATAGGAGCTAGAACTCTGTCTGTGTTCCAGCTCCTGGCCTCTGAAGGAGCTGGCCAGAGAGACTGGTAAAACATTAGGATGAAAAACCTCCAGAATACAGTCATTCAGTCTGAAAAACCTAGAACAACCATTGGATCCCGGCTGTGAGAGTCTTTGACAATACAAATGGGTAGATAATACATACATATCACATAACCTGAAAACCATATTAAAGTCACCATAAGCTGGAACTACTTCTTCGGTCCACACCTTAGCATGGTGAAGTCGTTTGAGTGTGTCAGTGAAACTGAGAATAATGCTGTCAGAAGACTAGACTCCATTACAATCCTCAACTTCTGACAGAGTTACTCAAGATGGACTATTCACAGCTGAAATACAAGACTAAGATGCATCCACACTCTTCAAGGGTAATTGGCATATCAGCAGAAGAGAATGGATAGTTCCAGTGGGAGAGGCAACTACTGGGCAGCAGTGGTAGCTGACGGTGGCACTGATGGAAGAGGCAATGACATTCCAGCTACCTTTTGTCAGTACTGCAAAAAATGTTACAGTGATAAATGAGCAATGAACTTTTGTTACCATGAAAATGATGAGATAGTCCAAAATGAAACAAGAGATAGTGCAGGAAGATGAGACTCCCAGGGCAGAAAGCCCTCCAACAGCTACGGGGGAAGAGTAAAGGACAAGTACAAGTAGCTCTTAGAATAAGTATTCAAAGTACATGTCACTTTGATTATGTTGACACAGCTAGATAAAGGCTGAAAGGATGTCTAGTGGCCAACATGTACAGACGTGGAAGGAAAGTCCAGTGTGGCACAACATATATAATTGGAACACATAATATAGGAAGTATGAATCTAGGTAAACTGAAAACTGTAAAACAAGATATTGAATGTATAAAGATTGTTGTGATTATTTTCAGTGAACTGAAAGGTGGACTAGTGTGGGATATTTGAGCTTCTCCCAGTTATGTATTAAACCATATATCTGGTGATTTGTGGGCTTATAATCAAGGGATTTTGTTTACATTAAAGTAGCTGGTATTATTACCCCTAAATATTTATAGGGGTAATGTATGCAAACTGAACATAGCAAGGGAGAAACAACTACTAGTTTACCAGGAAAAACAGAGCCCATGAAGAGGAGCAATGGCAGCATATCACTCTGAGGACAAAGAAAACAAGAAGATTATCCCTGCTACTAGAACTGAACAACCAATGTCGTGCTCTCCCCCTGGAAGAAGATGCGCAGACAACTAAAGATGAATCTTCATCAAGTGTTCCAGTGACAGGATGAAAAGCAGCTCAGATTGCTACAGGGAAGAGGAGCCTGTTGGGTACCCCGAAGAGGAAAAGGTGTGTGGTGGTAATTGGTGACTCACTTCTTAGAGAACGAGAATCTGCAATCTGCAGACCAGACAAGCTCTCAAGGGAAGTATGTTGTCTCACAGGAGCAAAGATTAAAGTTGTAACAGAGAGGCTTAGCCAAATTATCAAGCCCACTGATTATTATCCCCTCCTTCTTTTTCATGTTGGGACAAACAATGCAACAAAGAAGAGTCTAAAAAACATTTCAAGAGACTATGAGCAACTAGGCAGGAAGGCAAAAGAACTGGGAGCTCAGGTGGTATTTTCATCAGTACTTCCGACAGAGGGCCAACATCCAATGAAGGAATGGAGGATTGCGGAGGTAAACCGCTGGCTCAAGTGATGGTGCCATCAAGAAAAGTTTGGATTTCCAGACCATGGGCTACATGAAGGGTTCCTGGCAAGAGATGGTCTGCATCTCACAAGGACAGGGAAGAATGTGTTTGGCAGACATCTTGCTCAATTCATTTGAAGGGCTTTAAACTAAATCTGCAGGAGGAAGGAGGACAATCTCTAGGAACAAACCCAAAGCACAAACCCCCTAGATACTGAACTTGACAATGAGGAAGGAAGTGGTGAGAAGGAAGGGACACGGAAGTAGAAAACACGAGACACAGCAAGCAAAAAAAAGGTGATCCATAAAGGGCTCAGAGGTGTATATACTAATGCCCAAAGTATGGGGAACAAACAGGAAGAACTTGAAGTCCTGGTACGTGAGGGCAGGTATGACATTGTTGCCATTACTGAAACTTGGTGGGACGAAACCCATGATTGGAATGTGCTGCTAGAAGGATATCATTTGTTCAAAAGAAACAGACCCAACAAAAGAGGAGGGCGAGTTGCACTATATGTAAAGAATTACTGTTCCTGTACTGTAGTACAGGAGACCAAGGGTGAAAGCCTTCCTCAAGCTATTTGGGTGAATATAAGTGGAAAAACAAATGACATAGTTGTAGGTGTCTTATTACAGGCCACCTAACCAAGCAAAGAAAATTGATGAACATTTTGCAAATCAATTAGCTGAGATCTGTAGGAAACAGGACACTGTAGTAATGGGGGACTTTAAAAACCTGGGAAAACAACTCTGCAGCAAGTGGGAGATCCAACAAGTTCCCAACATGCTTAGCTGACAACTTTGTCATCCAAAAGGTGGAGGAGGGAACCAGAGTATCAGCCATACTGGACTTAATTCTTACTAACAGGGAGGAAATGCTTGAGGGAGAGGAAATTGTAGGAACTTTAGGAGAAAGCAACCATGTCATATTAGAATTCACCATCATGCAGGCAAGGGTAAATTTACCAAGTCAGACTAACAGTCTAGATTTTAAGAGAGCTGACTTTAACAAGCTAAGAGATGTAATAGGAAGGATTCCATGGATGGAAATCCTAAAGGAAAAAAACACTTTAGGATGCTTGGGAAAGGTTAGATAACAAGGACCCAAACCAAAACAACATCACAGAGAAAGAAAAACAAGAGACGTCTGACAAGACCGTGTGGATGTACACAGAACTCCCTGATAAGCTAAGGGACAAAAAGGATAAGTTATAAAGAACTGAAAGACGGGCTCATAACTAGAACAGAATACAGTGGTGCCTCCACTTACTACCATAATCCATTCCAGAAGATGGACATAACTCAAAATGGTCGTAAGTCAAAGCACCATTTCCCATAGGAATGCATTGAAATGCAATTAATCTTTTCCAGCTGAAGTAAAAAATCACTGCAAGACTCATTCAAAATGTGATTAATCCCTTCTGACCAAAGTGGGGGGGGGGGCGGGAGAGAAAAGCAATCTAGCATATAAGGTCCATTGGAAACGCACAGAAAACAAACGGAGCAGACCAGAAATGCACAGAGAACAAAGGGGGCAGGTTGGAAATGCAAAGAAAACAAAGAAAAAAGCAAGGGAAGCATGCAAGACCCATCAGAAATGGGGGGAAAACCCAAAAAGCAACCCACCTCCCAAGACTCAGCAGAAATGCGGGGGGAACCAAAAAACAAACAAACCCTCCACAGACCCTTCGGAAATGGGAAAAAACACTCCAAAAAGCAACCAACCCCCCCAAGACCCATCAGAAATGGGGGGAAAGCAACAAACAAATCCCTCAAGACCCATCACAGCACACAAAACATAATCCCTACAGCTCAAAACCATGCTGCAAAAACACCCAGAACAGTTTTTTAAAAGCAGAAAACAGCATGTTACCTTACAAGGCAGCCCAAAGCCTCCCTGCAAACACACACACCCGCTCTCAGAATCAGAAGGAGACAGTCCCAAGCCCACGACAATCACTCTCTAACTCCTGGGGCAAAAGAGCTGCAAAGAAGCAGCCTCGTTGCCACCTACAGTTAGCAATTTGAATTTCCCGCCTTTTCCCCCTGCCTTTTTCTGTTCGTAAGTGGAAGCTCTGGTCGCAAGTAGAAGCAAGATTTTGCAGCCAGAGCTGATCGTAACTCGAAATGTTCATAAGTAGGGATGTTCGTAAGTCGAGGCACCACTGTACCAGCAAACAGCTTGAATCTGCAAGGATGGAGTCAGAAGGCTATGGCTCAGAATGA